CCTATCATATATTGAAGATCTAACCATACGAAAAATCAGCCCTACCCATTGCACTTACATTAAACCTGCCCCAGTAATCTGCTAATTTAAATTCAATATTCACAGTAATGTGCTTCCGTCTTTTCCTTATTACACTTAGGATCCAGTTTGTCTATGTCGACCCTCTTAACAAGTTAATGTATGGTTAGCCCCAAATGTACTGCGCTGATATATATATATATATATATATATATATATATATATATATATATATATATATATATCTTCGGTAAGGTTGTGGATATGAGATGATAAAATTCTCACACTAGGACGAAACAGCTGTCTAGTGCTTCATGGTTCTCAGTAGAAGTCTAACTTAGGTCGGTTCATGCTATTTATAAGAAATAACTGTTGAACGAGATAAACAGCATGCTAGGGCAGGTGTTTAAAATAAAGTAAAATCAGGAGCTGGCTTTCATATTGACTCAGTTTTAATGTTCAGGAAAACTTACTGGCGAGACGATATTTTATTCAGCTCCAATATTACATATCTATATATCAGCACAAAAAACAGGACCTTAACCACTTCTGAATAACTAATGCAATGTTCCATTTCGAAATTCTCTCTAGTTTTAAATTAACTGAACTGAAATGATTAGCAGTCCTATGTGTACAATAATCTGGAGGCTGAGGTTTAGATGGTCTATACTTTTTGAGTGAGGCGTGGCTGAGTAAACCTAAGATATCAATAACGATACAGTAAGAACCAGCAATTTCCTTTCTATGCTCAGAATGCTTGAAATCGTATGACCATTACTTGTCAATGGTGCACATGGGCTCCAGTATCCTGCGGGAACAAATGGCGTATGAACCAATTGTTGGTCACCGGCTACCATGGGACTGCATCTCCTTACGATGCTCCACTGCCTTGTGGGTTAGATCTTTAGGTCAAAGGCTCGGGGAGTGGCCCCCTAAGATAACCACCTGCTTCGGTTTGGGCACCCGGGCAGTATCACAGCCCACACACAAATTGATGAACTCTTTATGCCTATGGAAATTACCTTTCTAGCTTTGGAAAACAAACAATTGATTCAGATCATTATCATTACAATTATTGTCATTATTAATACTATTATTATTATTATTATTATTATTACTATTATTGTCATTATTGTTATTATTATTTTCCACATTATTCACCCTCTTTTATACTTATACAGCGGCTCGTCTTTGGTGGAAATTGGACTGTATCTAAACGTTCTCGTGTCACTGTCCGGTTGAAAATTGTATGTTACCACCGAATATGAGTACTGAAGCAGTTTTTCTGAAACCACGTGCGCCATTCAAACTGGCTGCCTTCAACGTTCCCACACTTATGCAGGTTGGACAACAGATAGGGATGGCTATGTCTTTGGAAAGTCTTCATATCGATGTCTGCTGTCTATCCGAGACCCGTATTCAAGACTCTGGTGAAGTACTACAAATTCGATCTCCATCTGTCGCTTCGAAAAGCTTGTTCTACGTGCGCCCATCCGGGGACCCTGTGGAGTCTTCGTCTGGTCTTGCTGGCGTTGGTGTCGCACTAAGCGCTCGAGCTGAGGCAGCACTAGTCGATTGGATCCCCATTAACAGTCGCTTATGTGCTGTTAGATTAGAAAGTTCCATCAAAGTGAGAAGAAATCGGAGTGAGAAACGATGTCTTTTCGTCATCTCCGCCTATGCCCCGACAGATTGCAGCCCGGATGCAATCAACGATGAGTTTTACCAGCAGTTATCTGTTCTTCTCCATAAAGTGCGTTCGACAGATATTGTAGTACTAGCCGGAGACTTGAATGCTCGGGTCGGGCGTCTAGGCACAGAAGAGAGTCGTTTAGGTGGCCGATGGGGACTCGTTGGTCGCAGGTCAGATAACGGGGACCGTCTACTGCAACTTTGCACAGACCACAACCTGTTTCTGGCTAGCACTAACTTTCGGCACAGTCATCGCCGATGTGCCACCTGGCGTCCTCCCTCTGCATCTCAAGCCTGGACTCAGATTGATCACATCGCGATCAGCTACCGCTGGCGTGGTTGTGTACAAGACTGCCGCTCCTTTTGAAGTACCTATCTGGACTCTGATCATGCCTTGGCCAATCTTGCCTTACTTTTCAGTGGCCAACAAAGTGACCACCACCAAAAGATTGATGTTAGCAAACTGGTTGCAACTTCTGTTGCAAGTAAGTATCGAACCGAGCTAGCCTCTAGGCTAGCTACCACTCCACCGAAAAGTATAGATGAGCATTGGTTGCAATTGCATGACGCCATGAAAATGGCGGGAACAGTCAGTTGTGGGTTTGCGAAACGTCCCGCTTTTAAGCACTGGGTTTCTTCTGGTTCCTTACAACTCATTGAAGCCCGTCGGTCTACTCCGGGTGACCGTGAGTTTGACCATAAACGAAGGATGTTATGTAAGGAAATTGGGCAAAGCTTGCGTAAGGACCGAGAAGCCTGGTGGTCGATGCGTGCTAATGAGCTGGAAGCAGCAGCTGCATCTGGTAACTACTGGAAGCTCTTCCAGCTCATCTGAGCCACTGGCAGCAAGAAGTCTGATGTGAGTGAAACAATCTGCGAGGATGATGGGATGCCAATCACTAACATCCATCGACGTCTTGGACGATGGGCAGAATTTTTCGAAGGGCAGTTCAACTGGCCTGCTGCTCCGGCAACATCGGTCAGATTGTCCTGCCCTCCATGGCCGGTGACGACTGATCCACCAAACGAGGAGGAAGTCCGCAAGGAACTCCAACTCTTGAAGCGTTACAAATCACCTGGCCCAGATGACTTACCTCCGGCTCTTTTTAAAGATGGTGGTGACTTTTTGACTAAGGAATTGACGACGTTGTTTACAAAGGTTTGGGAACTAGAGAGTGTACCAACGTCATGGAATGAGTCGATAGTTGTCCCTATCTTTAAAAAGGGTTCACGTCGTTCTTGTAACAACTATCGGGGGATAAGTTTACTTCCGATTGCGTCCAAGCTATTGGCTTCCGTCATTCTTCGTAGGTTGTTCAAAACCCGAGAAAGATTGACTCGCGAGGAGCAGGCTGGGTTTCGTTCTGGTCGAGGATGTATTGATCATATCTTCACCCTCCGCCAAATGTTAGAACACCGCCATACTTTTCAAAGGCCAACAATCGTAGTGTTTCTTGACATCAGGGCTGCCTTCGATTCGTTGGATAGGACTGTTCTCTGGGATTGTCTATTGAAGAAGGGTGTGCCTGAGAAGTTTATTAACATCCTGAAAGCCCTATATAAAAACACCTCAGGCAGAGTGAGGGCATACAACCACCTTTCTCCATTGTTCCATTCGAGCAGTAGGGATAGACAGGGTTGCCCAATCTCACCATTCCTCTTCAACTTTGCCATCGATAACATTCTTGAAACAGCTCTGATGAATGTAAGTAATGGTGGTGTGGATCTGTTACCTGGAGAAAGACTTCTCGACCTTGAGTATGCGGACGATATTGTCTTACTGCGCGATAATGCCCAAGGCATGCAATCCGCACTTAATCAGTTGGCAATCAGTGTCCGTAGGTATGGTATGTGCTTTGCACCTTCGAAGTGCAAAGTACTCCTACAAGACTGGCAGGATTCTATTCCTGTACTCACCCTGGATGGTGAGCAGATAGACGTAGTCGAGAAGTTCGTGTATCTGGGTAGCTGCATAAGTGCTGGTAGGGGTGTGAGTGATGAGGTCGTTTCATGTATATTGAAAGCCAGAGCGGCTTATGCCAATCTGGGCTACCTTTGGCGCCTTCGTGATGTTAGTCTGGCTGTAAAAGGTCGGATCTACAACGCGTCGGTGAGAGCAGTTTTGCTCTATGCTTGTGAAACCTGGCCTCTCCGAGTTGAGGACGTTAGACGACTCTCTGTGTTCGATCATCGCTGTCTCTGAAGGATTGCTGACATTCAGTGGCAACACCATGTCAGTAATGCAGAGGTTCGGCATCGTGTGTTCGGGCACAGAGATGATAATTCAATTGGTGTCACCATCTTGAAACACCGACTTCGGTGGCTTGGACATGTTCTCCGAATGTCGTCCCAGAGAATTCCACGTCGTGCATTATTTGCCGACTCTGGGACTGGTTGGAAGAAGCGGAGAGGTGGTCAGTGCATGACATGGTGTCGTGGTATGAAAGCTGCAAAGGACTGGCTTCTGTTGGTCCTTCACGACTCCTTGGTTGGGGTCTGAGAGATGGTGCTACACAGTGGCTAGAGACGTTATCAGATATGGCTCAGAATAGAAGCCAGTGGCGATCCTGCTGTAACCTTCTTTTACTTTCTTCATAAAAAGTGGTTGTGTCTCCTTTACCTGAAAGATTTCTTCTGATTGTACCTTTTCGTTCCGTCGTTACTACCACACTACCTTACTCCAATCTCTTCGTCATTGTTCTCTTTTTCTTTTGTGCTCATTAGTTTGTTTTTCTACTTCTCTTCGAATTCTCATTGTTTTGTGTGGCGCATATATATTGGCGCTCTCTTGTACCAATATTCATGTGTTCAAATAAATAAATAAATGTCAATCTGTAGTCTAATTCAGAAACCCTAAGCGAAGTGGTGGTATGGTTTGAAATCTAATGTGTAAACCTGTGAGGATGTCATGAATTGTATTTTCATGATATTCCATCATAAATAAAGCTTTCATGACCTATTCAATTTGGAACGCAAGTTAATGTGAGTACAATCTATCATACTTTCAGCAGTTAGTACTCATGCATATCGACTCATTTTCACTGGAACTACGTACTATACGATCTTACTATTATGTAAAATACATTCTTACAAACTCTTGAGCATATCAAAGAACGGGGTACGTTTGTTTGGCCCATTGCTTTTCGTTAAAAAGATCTTCCATCACGGTTTTGAAAGTTTTAAGTCTTTTATGAGAACTGGAATATTCATGCAAAATCGTACTAAGTTAAACCTAACAGATTTAAAAATACCCAGGTATTTCGCATTATCACATGGTAAAAGTAGCAAAATATACCATCCAGTGTTTATTCAACTGTTAGTGGCTAGGACAGTGAATAATCTAAAACAATGAGAACCTAGGTTGTGAATTATTTATGGATTCCATTGAGTCATTTAGTTGAATTGAGTACCAGTTGTTCAGTACGTAACAAGTACGGTTTAAAAATTCACTAAGAATGAGGAAATTAATAAAAATCTTTGGAACAGAATATCAATTGTTTATATTAACAGCTGAAATTTCGAAAAAATTATATTAGTCTTTCACAATTTAGTGTCACTACACAACTCAGTTGTTAAATAGAAATAGACAAATGATCAGTGATATTCACTATACAAATTGCCATTTAATTGTGCCAGAATACAGTTACTAGTATACATGTTAATGTAAATAGAAGGGGTGGAGAAAGGAGTAAATATTTATTACTTGTGTTGTACAGGCGCAAAATAATTTCTACATCATATACAACTAATAGTGTGTTATAATAATAAAATATAAAAATGCAGGAAGAAAGTAGTATGAATATGGAAATAAGTAGTAAAAGCTTTGATATTTTGATCAACCCCTACGATTTGGAGGCAACCATGGTGGGCGGCTATTCTTAACGACTGAATTGGAAAGGCCTGTACTGAAGTTTGGAGGATGGACAGAATACGGATTAGCGTATGGATGACTACTAGATTGACGATAGGCAGGTCCACCTCGATGATAAGCATCATTTTGAGGAGGAAAACGATTAAAAGATCCAGGTCGCCAATTTGGTGGAATGTTGTTACTTAGTTTGCCACAATCTGATCTAGATGAATACTGTAAGTGGCTACCTCGACTGCGCTGATATCGTGGTAATGAATTCATAACCATCCTGTTCATCGGTGAGTTTGGATAAAAATCTCTACCAGTATCCTCCCTATCTGACGAATTGTCTCGAGCATAGTACTGCATAGCTGCATTGGCATTAAAACGTCCACGATGTTCATCGGTGCGAAAACTTGCTCGTCCTCTTCCTCTACCACGCTGAGGAGGTTGAAGGTACACTGGGGGTGGCATTTTAACCTTCAAAAAAAACAGAAAAAACTCCATTTATTCATCACAAGTTTGGTAAATGATATTTTAAAAATTCAAATTGAGAATACGATGAGTCTTGTAAGTTACGTACAAGTTCGGAACCAAATCAGTATTTAAATTAAACTAGATTATAACATCTAGAAAAAGTTACCGTACACTATTTTCAATTGTTAATCTTTACAAATATTTGTCATAAAAGGTTAGAAATCTACTTTTGATGATCCGAAAACAAACGAGTTGATTACTAAAATACTTTTATGATTCATAGGAATTCCAAGGCTTGAAAACTGCAATCCCGCCAAACACCGAGACCCTCAGAAAGGCGAAAGCCTGTAATTTAAGATCTTAGATGACATTTACTTTATTTAAACACAAACATTGGTGCAAGGAGACACCAAATAGATATGTGCCACATAAATCATTCGAGTTGTGTGAGGGCTGGGACATTGCCCGGGTGCCCAAACCAAGTAAGAGGTTTTCTTAGGGGGCCATAGTCCGAACCTTTGATCTAAAAGTCTAATCCACAAGGCAGTGGAGCAACTTTACGAGATGCAGTCCCATAGTAGTCGGTGACCAACGGTTGGTTCATATGCCATTTGTCCCGTCAGGATTCTGAAGCCCATGTGCACCATCGACTTGAATCAGGGTTTTCCAACTCCCCTAGGTGGATTTTCCATATCCACCAGCCCGGTTAAAGCGCCGGACATTCGCTCTTCATAAACAACATCTCCACCATGAGAAGAACTTCCCTTGCAGTGGTTGTATGCACGTGGCCATGTGAGAGCATTTCGAGGGGGAGAGCAGACTCTCCCCACTCCTGGCTGTACCAGGGTATTTGGAGACTTAGATGACATGGATTGAAACTAAACTTAATTAAGTAAACCCATTTGCTTTGTACCTTTTGTCTCCTAAGTGTTTTCAGACGATTGTTTTACCTTCCCGAATCATAGCATCTTATTCATATTGATAAATTTCTATTTATATTGACTGAGCTGTTGCGAGATGTATCAAATTGTACAAACGTAAATGTGTAAAGTATTATATTGTCAATATAATACTTTACACGTCCAAATTCATGCGCTAAATTGTGAACTATAAATACTGTGTATGATCTCTCGAAACCGTAAAAATATCTGTATCATGGATCATCAAACCTCGAATCGTGTGTTACAATTAGTACAATGAATTGGGACTTAGTGATCCATATTTTTGACTACCTCCACTTGCAACTATCTACAGTCGCTACCCGATAGCCCAATCGTTTATTCGATTTACGAATGTTTTAAAAATGAGTCTTTTTAAAAGCGATGGCTTTGCCTCTACTGACTTCCATAAAAACACTATGGAATAAGATTAACAGAATTACGCTTTATAATGTACACTAGAAAAGTATTTTTGAATTCATGATAAGTTGCTCAAATGTTTTTCGCCCATTCTACACCTGCGATGCATACGGAGAAAAAATGGGGAAAAACAGGACATAAAACAGTCTACTATATAAATTTGTGTCACATGGGGACGACAATCGATGTTAATGAATAGAAGCTTGTCGGAAAAATCCAACATAACAATATATGGAAACTTACGGATTCAAGTAACTTGGAAGGAAAGACGAAGCCCTTTGGATATTGAGGATCTGAAAAACATATTGATACAGCTTCAGAAACCTTTAAATCAGGAACGTGACCTGGGACTGCACTAGGTACACGACTCCCAGGCAAGTAAGCCATTTTGTTAGGCCAGATTAGACCACTAATTCCAAACGTAACACGTGGATCAATTGCAGATGCCCAAGTTGGTATGATTTGTTCATCCGAATTATCTTTCTCAATCTTTTCATGTGATACTTTGTATAGAGAATGCAACAATGGACCAGCAGAATGATCAGCTCTACAAAACAACTGGTCTGAACCACGAACATTTCTCTCAATCTCTTCTTTTGTTAAAAGATTTCTTCGGGCATCCAACGCTTTCAGCAAACGAACCTCATCAACAAATGGTAACAAAGCTACACCCATCCACAGATATCGTTTGCCATTCAAGTCTACTTTGAAGTCTGTTGGGTAAAAATCAATTATAGGAGAATCGGGATCGGTCATTAAGTCCTGCCACGCTGGAGGGACGTGACTACGAGAGTCGGCCGGGAACACGCTCATAAGTTGCTCCAGTGGTCTAAACGGTTTTGTTTCTTTTTTCGAAAAGTCAACATCGAGTTCTGCGATTTTGGAGAAGTCACTGGCAAATGGAGCATAATGATACGGGAAATACCAATCCCATGAAGCACAACCTTGGTAATAATAGGCTAAGACCCAGCATAAACCAAGGGCATATTCCTGACCAACTTTGATACAGAACCCAGGTGCATCTGTCGGGTCAACTCCAAATTTAGATCGATAATATCGTGATCTCCATCCATCTTCCCAAAACCGTACTTCATCCGCAGCATCCATCATCTCATCCTCATCGTCGTGATGATTACCTGATCTGTTGTTGCGACCAGATGAAACACCTTGTAGACTTGTGTTGTTATCAGAAATAATTCGAGGTATTTTCGGAAGAATAGTGGGATTATTCATATTATTTGAGATTCCGTTTTCAATAGGTTTATCGCGTTTCAGCATAGCTTTCAGTGCTGTTGCTGCCTCGAGGTTATTTAGATTTCTATCCACCCAATTAACACTTTCTTGACATCTACCCTGATAACGTCGTGCAGCTAATAACTCATCAGCAGAAACAACTTGATTTGTATAGTGACCTTTGGGGTGTGCTATTCCGTGACGTCCTCTTAGGGGAATAGGTTCCATAAAACCAGACTGAGACACTTCGAATGATGGGCGGTGACCCAATCGCTGTGGAGCGAACCCGCGTTGGTTTTTATCATAACCATTGCCAGATGAATGTTGACGCTTTCTATTACGAAACTGTAGTTCTGATTCACGACGATTTTTGAAGATCTCGTCCTCCATCTTTCCCAAATCAACCATAATGAGTTGGACACGCTCTAAATTGACTCGTCCACTATCAGTCAGCCACCCTCCCGTTTTCTGGACTGTTGACTTATAGATTTCAATCAAACGATCAATGGCTCCTTCACGGATTTCCAAACTCGGAAGATGAGGGAGGAAGTCATTTCCAACGAAAAAGCACATAAAAACCCAATCGTCAATGACTCGTTCGAGATCCCATTCAAATGTAATGCCGGCCAACTTCAGATCTTCTGCTAGATATTGTCTTAGAACATTCAAGCGAATAAAGATGAAATCCTACAAACATAAAAATGAAAAAGAACGAGGATAAGCGTTGAAACTTTGAAAACAATAACTATTATATCTAAAACAATTCACAACTTACAGTGACTTATTAAAACATATTTGAGGAAGCACTGCATATAAAATGATAAACAGCTTATACACATAGGACGAGCACTAGTAATATATGAAATTATTTATTAGTATTAGTACAGTAAGGCTTTCCAAAAAGCCACTTTTTGAGGGGACACTTATTTATTCAACTAACTTCATTCAACTGAAAAATACGCTGAATAGGTACTTTGAATGACTTTGAGATGCTGATATTGCCTACTATCGAGCAAGTAAGCCTCTGTCTAAACAACCGGCAACAAACTAATCGACTGGTGTATCAGTCGTTTTTGACAGACCCGGGTTGACCAACACCCTAACCCAACAACCTTATTCCATTTAGCCAAACCATGTCGCGAGATAATATCGCTTATTCGCCAAATAACAAATGCAATCGATAAAATGTTTGGAACTGCACAAAAGTTTTGCGATATCTAAAAAATCCAGGATGTTTTATTACATTACACACGGAGCTAATTAGTGAACAAATAATTAGCTGTGCTGAAGGCTTGTTTGGTGACATTTTAGTGGGGTCCTTCATTTTGACGTCAATTAAATCAGATGTTGTCAACGGGCTCACCACTTTTGTGGCACTATATCTGACTCCAATTGGATCATATGAACGTTATTGAAATATACATTTAGCCAATCCTCGTATATAATTATCGACTTAATCCGCGTTGGTGAATAACGGAACTAAATTAATCAAATACGAGAATGGATTTCTGAATATATGTATTTTGTACACTCATTGATCTAGACAACCAGTCAGAGGGATGAAGCGAAGAGAAGAGAGAGAGAAACGAAATTACACGCGGTGGAAAAGACATGTGAATCATTGTATACCTGATGATACTTTCAAGAGAATACATGCTTAAGATCTATATGTAAATACTTGAAACCAAACGGAAATAGTGACTTGCAAAAAGAGGATTATTAACAGATTGATTTTATGACCCTACAGATTTGTCACTGCTAATTGTGTTATTGTAAATCGTTAGTAGGTTAAATTACTACTAATCTACAAAAACCTACCTTATGAAAAATAATATATGACATTATTAGAAAAAAATGGAATGAACTCTTGTCTGTTGATTTATATACGATATAGTAAAGCAAATGTGAATTTTAAGAGTGGTAATAATGAATAATAAACACTAAGGTCATATTCTATTGACATCCAGAAATAGCTGTGAAACATGTGGGCTGACTTTTGCTTGTTGTTTTATAGCAACTAACTCACGAAACAAAGGTTAACAAAAAACAATTAGAGTAGAACTAAATAAAAATTAAGTCATCGTAAAATGAATGAGCATACCACATCTCCTGAAGGTAGTGGAGGAGGACCTTCGTTTGGATCTTCTTCTTTTGGAGCACCTACGCAGTCCTCCATCTCATGACCCATCTGGCCGCACAAATCACAAGGTTTTGGTTGGTTTGGTTTAAATTCCTCACGAATAATAGTAAAATATGGTTCATGTGTGGCTAATCCAAGCATTATAAGGTCAGCGTCAGCGCCACATAAACAATGTTTCGTATTGGCGTCATGAGTTGGATTATTTCTCTGTCGTCTGATAAAATCCATGATTTTATGTTCACCCTCACCAGGAACATTTGCGTCACTCAAGAATACCTTAAAATCATGAAGAAGATATAAACCATTAATTAACTTAATGAACTTGAAATTGAAGACCACCTTAGAGACTACTAAAAACCATCTCCCTACAAAACTCGATACTGGCCTAAAATCATTCACAAATCACTCGATCGTATCTGTCACCTTGACGTGGTGGCTGGGCTTGCCTACTGTGACGACTCAACTGGATTATATTGAGTGGAACACATGTTCCTCTATGTCTTATCACGCAGGGAGGGTCGGCTGAAGAACAGTAGGACAGAAAGCAGCAACTTAAAGTCCGAGGGCGAAGTCGTACTGCTGACTGTACAAGGATATGACAGCGAGTATTTCCCTCCCACATCTAGCATCTGCTGTGAAGCTGCCTTCTAACAACGAAAGAAAGGTCAGAAAAGATTGACCTTAAAAATGCTACACCACATATTATCCACACGAATTTCCATCTCCAGAGATAAAGTCTTTCGAAATATAAAGCTGACACATCGAAAGCTTCACATGTAAAGGCTATAAGTTAATAACCTTAAGAAGTTTTCCGTTGGCCTCTGTGGTCACAGTTTCAGGTCTTTAAGATCACCTTTAAGCCTATTTCTTCTTTAGGTCCCTCAAGAAGAAATATCCTACCACACCACAGTGTGAGGGACTGAAAAGTGATAACTTCCACCACGCCTTCAACAGCACCCGAGATCCCTTGATCATGACCAAAGCTTTCAATATCGAACCCTATGTCAAATAAGCCAAAAGATTTACTTAGTTAGAACTCCAGAACCTGTGCCATCAATGTACGCCATTTCTCCGAAACACACAGGATTCAAGTGTGGTCATCGACTTGAACTTACGTAGCTGAAGCAGAGAACCTGTGGAATTTTCCCTTTGTTTATTTAGAGACTTGACCATGACTTCTGATAACCTTGCTGGAGTAGATATAACATTTTAGTGGACACATAGAAGCTATACTAAGAAGACCCCTTGAAGTTCAACTTAACAACAAAATACCAAGAGTACGTTTCACGAACTAGAGCAATTAGTCAATCACTAAAGTGATATGGATTGGCATAACGTTGAGACACTTGTGAAAAGAGCGATGATATTTACGAGTGGCTTTAATCAATAGGTTAAGAAAAATTACTGGATTTCAGTGGTGCGTACCGAATTGATAAAATGTCCAAAACTCAAACCATTAAGCTTGAAACATGATTAGGAAAGAAGGTAACTTAAACGTAAACTGACAAAACGTCTACGCAACGACTATGAGCAGTGAAAGCGATGGAAAAAGGAAGCGGCTCTACACAAAAACAAACTTCTTATACTTGTCGAATAAATGGGGATTGAAAATCCAGGAATTGATGACAATTTCTAAGAGTGATGGGACAATGATCCACTGAACTCAGAAGGCTGAAACGATGAACAAAAACTTTGAAGAATAGTCTAACTGCTCTCCAGCTATCCTTTGGTTGCCTACTTTAGCAAGCAACCTGAAAGGGATGTAAACATAAAACATTCAACTCTTAATGAAATAGAAAAAAATGTAGCTAATCTAAGGCGAGAGAGAGTAGCAGGACTTCATCGATTAACCCCTGAGATATTGAAAGTTAGTAACCGTTTTAGGTATTAGATTGACTGAAATCTCAGTCAGAATCTGGGAGCTGGATATAACCCCGTCTGACTGGTCTCGATCGCTGATCGTCCCAGTCTATAAGGACAAAAATCCTTTGCTGACAACCATAGACGAATCAGTCTGACTAATATAGTATCCAAAATATTGGCCTCAATAATCATCCGACGCTAGGACTCGTGAAGAACAGGCTCGAGTAAATCAAACTGGATTCCGATCTGGATGTGGATGTATACACTAAATATTCACTATTCGGCAGATTCTGGGACACAGATATAATTTTCGACATCCGACTATAATTCTATCCCTTGACCTTAGGGCGGCATTCGACTCTGTTGATCTTGAGGTTATATTTGACAGTCTGTCATTGAAAGCCGTACCAAAAGAGGTACATTAACCTTGTATAGGCTCCCTACTCGAACATTAATGGTCGAATCAGAGCTTATGGAGAACTGTAGTCGGAACTGATTACTTCAAGTGGTGCTCATCAGTCTTGCTAACTTTCCCCATTTTTATTTAACCATGTCATAGACATACTTTTAGAGATGACACTCATCGTTTGACTTTTCGGGAGTTGGTCCACCAAGAGATTCACCTGATGGCTTAAAATACGCAGATGATATGGCTCTATGTGGTGAAGACGCTAACAAAATCCAGTCTTTTGACCACCTTAAGCAACAATACAGGAATGTTCGGGGTGCGTTCCTCTCCCTTTAGATGCGAAATGTTACTCCCTGAACTACTGATAGAGAGTGAAGTAGTTGGGCGTATTAATCTTGAAAGTTTCTTTATCTCTAATGGTTTGATGTCTGACAAAGTTGTAGCACGAATTCAGAAAACTATAACTATATTCTACATAGGTCACAAATTTAATAGCTATACAGTTGGCTCTAGTGTATTATATAGAAAGAGACCACACTTAATTACTAGGAAAACGTTTATAATCTCCGGATGAGGAAAATTCCAAGCCCTTTTGAAAAATGACTGCCGTAACATCATATCTTATGATTAGGGTATTAAGAAACAATGAAAAACTGATGTAAAAGTGATAAGACGGTCAAATGAAAGATAAAACCGCACAAAATTAACCGATGTATTCAAGGTAGTTTAACTGTCACAATAACTACAAACTATTGTGATAAATATGCATCAAAACTGAAAGCCAATTCAACTTAAAACAAAAGTCGCAGAACACATCATTCTAATCACATCGTAAACTAACCATCAGATTCTTCCATCCTGGATCTTTTGTCAAACGAGTATATATATACCCCCTTAAAGCAACAGCCAAACGTGCCATAAATGGTGTTCCTGGAGTAATACAATTGGAATCAAAATGTTCTTCCTTAGGTGGTGGAAGATGCGCCCCTCTTGCAATTAGTTCATTCCTTAAACGCTCAATAGTTATATGTTTTTCCTTCGCCTCTTGAGCCGCTCGAAAACGTCTGGAGCGTTGTTGATTCATTTTAGCACGTGGAGCCACTCCATCGATGGCCATATACAGTACTCTTCTAGGGCGAACAATTGCAAACAGTCTATCTATGTATTCGAAAATAGCTAGGAACATTTCCGACTCCGTTTTTGGAGCTGGTTTGTTTTCTGGATGCGTACATGGATGGATAATACCGTTCATATCTAAATATAGATTGTCGAATTCTTCTCCATTTGGATTCGGCTCCGATGTATCTATAGGTGATCTATTGCCATCATCATCCAAAATAGCTCCACGTTTCTCTGCACAATGGGTGACAATTGATGGATATTTCATACTCAGCCATCTGAAAAAAGCTGGAACACCCATGATTGACTAACCTGAAAAAAAGATGATTGCCGGGAACAAACTGATCTGATACAAATTTTAAGATAAATCATTTCACACTAGTGAAGTACGCAAACGCAACACAACTAATGAGTAACGGGTTTGAGCCCCATTTACCAAACAAAGGTACAAAATCTAATGAAAAATACGAAATAGAACTTAAATTCACGGCCTTGGGTAATCATGGTAAAACTAAATAGAAGTACGGTGTCAACGGGTTTAACAAACAACAGCTGACACAGACGTTTGGGGTGACGATTTCTACCTGGTCAGATGGGACGAAAGGGGCTTAAAATGTTATAATTCTCTATTACAGCTCAGCTATTCCTATTGCTTAGTATTCCTTGGACACCAATTTACTCTACAAGTCCCCAAATCAGAACACGGTTGATCAGGAAAGAAATTATATTCCAAATAACAAGAGCAGATAGAAGAAGCAAAATAAGAAAAACGTTAGTGTATTTATAGTTTTTACACGAGAGAATTCTAGAGACTTCTCCAAGTATCGACTAGCGCTGATTAGTTAAGAATCGGCCAATCAGCACACACCAAAGCAATCGTGCATGAAACATGCCTTAATCTAATCTAAGTCCCGCTAACACTTCCCCTTTGAGCAGGTTCGCAGGATCAGGTGCTAGGGTCCAACTGCAACCGAGTGACCGGCCTGTGATTTCGATTTGTCCATCATCTAGGCAATAAAGTTGTATCACTCTTTGCTTGCACAGAAACTGACCTGTCTATTCCAGGCGTTTCGATTTCAAAGGTGTCTAGCAGAACGTCAAGAGATATTCTATAACGAGTCTCGTTGCTAGTTGTTGGAGTTGCTTCCAATTGGTTAGCATGACGTACCCAAACTTCTGAGCCAACTGACACCTCATAAACCACATTTTCTTTTTCTTGCACGACCCGATCAGCTGTCCATGTAGGATGTTTTCCACGATAGTCCATAGCAAGTACTTTCTGACCCACCGTGAACAATCATCTTTGTGCCCCATGATGTCGACTGAACTGCTTCCCCATCGATACGCTTCGTTGAGGCTCGAGAGCTGGCGTAGGACAGATGACATCGAAATGTGTTCGTATTTTTCTGTCAAGTAGAGCTTCTGCTGGGGAGACCCCGTTAATCGTCTGAAGGTTTGATGTAGAGCGATAAATAAGCAGGAACCTCGCTAGGATCTTTTCGGTGGTCACCTACCCTTTATATTTTTAGAGCATTTTTAAATGTGCTCACAAAGCGTTCCACTTTACCATTGGATCGAGGATGGAATGGACGTGTTTGAACATGATATACTCCGTTCTGCCGACAAAATTCTGGGAAGGTAGCGGATGTAAACTGTGTTCCATTGTCATTAACTATCAATTATGAGACTCCGAAACGACTGAATAGTTGAAGTAGTTTACTGTGCAGCTTGCAGTTGGGTGTTCCATGAGAAAAATTTCTGGCCACTTGCTGTATGCATCAACCACCAGAAAGTAAGTTTGTCCATGAAGTGTGCCAGCAAAGTCCGAGTGTATACGCTGCCACAGTGACTGTGATATTGGCCATGATTGCAGCTCTGCTTTTCGCGGTGCCTCTGTTGCCAATGCACATTTGGTACACGAATGGGACAGATGATCCAGTTGAAAGTCTAAATGCGGTCAGTATATATAACTTCGTGATAGTGCTTTCATTCGATTTCTTCTAGGATGTCCTACGTGCAACTGTTCAAGGATTGCTGGTTATAGCTCCTTTGGGATTATGACACATTCAGCAAACAACGGGCAGTCGTCGATGATTGAGTCTACGCTAGTAAAACTGTTGAAGCTCTGTAGAGCTGATTTCTGAAGGCCGCCCTTCTAGATGGAACTTTCTAACTTCTTGTAGGATTGGGTCTCGAAAAGTTTCTTCTCTAATCATGTTCATAACTAAACAATCTCAAATTGAGTTGCGTCTCGAATGTCCACCACATTTATCTTGTTTGATTTTGGATTGCAGCCTAAGTTTTTTACGGGTGAATTACCAACCAAAAAAACAAGATTATCTGCCTACATCACAGCAATTGGTATTCATTCTATTAATTTGATGTACCGAGCAGAACTATGTACGTTTAAACATCTCGATTGATGTACTATGAATCTCATGACAGAGGAAAACTAAAGACAAGATGTTTGTAGGATTCATTTTTTTCGATGGTTACTTTATTCAAGCACTTTCTATAGTGCCGTTCAACCAGTCTGTGTGAAGCTACAGTTGAAGTGAATACAGAATGGCTTTCGAATCGATTTTTTAGAACTGTAATTAGTAGAAGAATGACATTTAGAGGAAAAAACATGCCGAATAATATCAGATGCAGAATATAAACTACGAAACAAGAAACAGGTAAATATTGAAAGAGCTTGTCGACTATAGTCATCGTGTTCCACCAAATATATCTTTCAGGATCACCTAAACAGGCAAACAATTGAGTTTGAAGTGAGCGCAAACCAATAATCTGTGTATTACAAAGGCGTTAAAAATTCCTTTTAAACCATAACTGCGTGAAAAAGCGAAAAGTTCACGCTCGGATCCTACCCATAGCTCTAACACTTGATTTTTGTATAAGTTAGCTGTGAGTACTTTCCCCTAGCGTTTTTATCTTTTTGATGATTCGTTATTAATACTACGTAATTTTACTTTACCTTGTCTTCCTGATTGTTATGTCCGGATAAGCATAATAAATAGTAACTTTTGGGATCCATTTATGGACCAATACTATGAGTATATTTTTATCGTACAATCGTTAAATAACCAAACTATTCATATTCATGTCCTTCTTATCATAAACTTCATTTTGACCTATGGACTATTATTATACGATCTACCATTCTTGAATTATGCCCTGTCTATTAATTACTACCTCCCTCATTGTCACATTTGGCTAATTCTTGTACAAATGTTGTTTCATATTTTATGGTACGGTGCGGTCTGTCTGGTTGGTATATAAACCCAGTATGCATGAAATGAATGATTCATATCGCAGAGGCTGAGATTGGTGTTCTGGACTTAACTGGCTGAACTAAGCAAGAAGCAAGACCAATAAGGACCCTAGACTGCTCGTACGTGTCTTATGCGTTACTGGTCCGATCGATAATTTACTGCTAACTGGTGGTATTATTACGTTGTACATTAACAGGGCACACAGGCCACAAGTTATAACACTCATATACTCCAAATTAACAATTATCTCTTACAAATTGGAATCCACTTTACCGATGGTTACGCAACCCTGTTTTAACGCTTAGAGTTCCCGAATAGTTTGTTAGGCATTGCGCTCCCTATTCTTTGACAGGCTATCTTGTTTGTTGAATAACCATGAATACGGCTATACAACTTGAGTAAGTGATGTCGTTGAAAAAAAAGTTTCTTCACTGGTCTTTTAGTTCTCTTTAATGACACGGGTTAATTTTGTAACATGATATTTCGATGTCCATCTATTGGTAGACCACACCAAAGTCAAACTAAGTGATGGATGTCCAAAGCACAAATCAACTGGCTCCCTGTTCAGTTGTAAGCGTACCTACCAGTAGGTGATCACTAACTAGTCAGTACTTTTCAATTGAAGTCCGACATCTGAAGTCACATTCTCCAAGGATGTGCTTTTCAATGAAATCCTCAAAGGTGCGATTGCTGTTAGATGTCAACAAATATGCCTGTACTCCCGAATTCAATGTGCAGTAGATCAAGCTAGTATTCTGATGTCTAAACCTTAAATCTAACTGTTTTTTTCTAGTTCAGTTGTTTTTGTGTTACAGTTAAGCGTCAGACAGCCACAAGATCTTAAGAAGTATGTTAGTAAAGATTCAGTCAGGCATAATAAACGTAAGACCTACCGCATACATATATCAGCTTAAGTGGCGCCATCAAGCCAGCATCACGAAACAAAGTGAACAAGATAAACCACGAAGTTGAAATAGTAGCAGCGTTGTGTTAAGATTCAAAAATAAATGTAGTGAAGCGTAAAACAATAGTAAAGAGTACATGCATTCTGAGGAATACTACCTAAGGTCTAAAACTACTGGTCGAGATTACTTACTACGCTTGTCAGTGGCTCAGAATAAAAGCTAGGGATGATCCATGTAATTTTTCACTGTATTATTTACAAGCAGTAAGATGCCTCTCGTGTCTAAATAAAATTATTTTACCCCTGACCTCATTAAAACTAGTTCATCATATATCTTCGCTTTTTCATGTATTAATTGCATGCATTTCCCTATTCATTACTATATTAAGATGTACTCGACTAACAGCCATACTTTATGTATGAGAACTAATGATACCAGCAAAACTAAACTACACTGATGATCTCGAGTCAACATTCATATCTGCTTTCTTAGATCTGAGTGATTGACTCAAGAAAGAAATCGAATATTCCCACAGACCATCGTTGGCCAGAGGGGCCAGATAGAAGACTGTCGCTTATTCAGAAGCACATGTTTAGACTCGGATAATGCTCTGGTTAAGGCACATGTTTGTTTGCATCTTCACTCAGTCAGTCAGCTACAACGTAGGACCAGGTACATATGTGCATCAGTCCAAGTTGCCATACCTCATTAGCACAACAAGATGAACACCGAATTCATAGAAATAGTTAATTCAGAGGTGATAATATATAAAAGAAAGATTGCATATAAGGATATAGTACAGGAAGAAAGAATTAGTTCACAGAAAGAAAGATATAAAGCGATTTTAATCTCATAGTTTAAGGGAAGACAAAGAGTGTATAAACCGACGCCATTGTGATTGATTCTGAGCCATGTCACCCAGTCTCCAACCATTGGTTACGATAGTCACGCGGACCCCAACCAAGTAGTCTGCATCTACCAACATGGCTCACTAGAAGCTAGTGACTTCAAGGACTGATGCCACGTTTCGGTTTGGCCGCCCATAAAGAACGTAGAAGAGCAACAGCAAGAAATCTTGTAGTTCAACGTAATGATGGAAAAGTAAAGAATATTTTTAGGGACATTTCGAGAAAGATCTAGTCAACAGCGAAAGCGATATGTACAGCGAGGTGGTTCAGTAGAATATCTAAAAAGCTGTGAAAACAACAGAGACATCTACCGGCAACTTAAGCCAAAAGGCCAAAAAATCGGTGGATTCCAGAGGCTGATAGATGCACGGAAATCCATCCTATTTGGCTCCGTACACGATGAGCAGCGAAGGCAGCTTAGGCGTAGGCTGACAGAAAACCTACGTATTCGTGAGGTGGGAGTAGGTAGCGGAAGCAGAGATGATAAAGGTAGCAGCGATTGGTAACAATAGACAATCGTTCAAACTTATCAAGGGTACGGGTATAAGAATCCCAGACTTTATTTCTGAGAAAGACGGGACTATTATCCACTTCCAATCCTGGGGATTAAACGGATAGGGAGAACACTTTCAACCGGTCTTCAGTGGTATCCCAGTTACCCACTATCCATATGTGTACAACTCGTAGTCAGGTGAAAAGGGCTATAAGAAACATTAAGTTCAAGAGAGTAGCAGGACTTCATCGATTAACCCCTGAGATATTGAAAGTTAGTAACCGTTTTAGGTATTAGATTGACTGAAATCTCAGTCAGAATCTGGGAGCTGGATATAACCCCGTCTGACTGGTCTCGATCGCTGATCGTCCCAGTCTATAAGGACAAAAATCCTTTGCTGACAACCATAGACGAATCAGTCTGACTAATATAGTATCCAAAATATTGGCCTCAATAATCATCCGACGCTTAGCTAGGACTCGTTAAAATCAGCCTCGAAAAAAACTCGGGCGTCTTAGCAAAATGATAGTCTGAAAAATGTCGGAAAGTACTACGATATTTACATCAGAGAACTTATTATGGACTTTATTAAGTTAAACCCCCATATCCATTGAGGATGTTTCTATGCAATACATAGTTCGTTTACATAATATGTACTTTAACAGATCAATGACTCCTAGTCACATACAACCATTCGCATGATTTAGTCTTACTACCATACAATTTACTGCCTAAACTGAAGTAGATGGTTTTTTCAGACTTCAAACCTTGATAACTGTACACAACACACTTTAAAAATGTCAAGTTGGTTACCAGCCTATAGACAATCTCGAAAGTCTAACACCTAATATACACGTAAATTGCTGAGGTTCAAAGCCCTTTGTTAAATTTGGGTTCTGGTAACAGAGAGACAGTTTGTCATACATGCAAAACAACTTCGTCAAACAAACCACGAAATAGAAGACTAACCTTGCGCGCACTTATTGTCAGTTTCAACAACCGTACCGACCTGAACTGCACTAAACAAACTGAATTGTTTATGAAAAAACTATATAGTTGATCTTTCTTAGCTCCGAACAAACAATACTGGTAAAAAAGAGCGAAATTTAACCAGTCTATCTGATTTTCATGCAGACACGGTGTTTCGGAGTCCCTGGATGAAAAGATGGATAGCTGTAAAAAAACGCTCTCCGTGATACAAATCAGTAACAATTGATACCATACAGACTTAACCTGGCAAGTTTACATAGTGGCTACTTCGAAATACTTCTCAGACCTAGATACATTCCCTGATTACCCCTAATTAAGTCACTCGAAATAACTCCAGATTCCTCTGATATTGTCGTGACCACTCTTAGAACAACATTCAGTATCTCCTAAAAAAGGATTAGGGTCTTTAAAAGAAAACTTCAGCCTGTCAGACTACCGTAGTGAGCTTACTCAGACATCCTGCAACTAATGATGGAACGAGTCGATGTTGATGAGCTTGTAGCGGTAAATAAATCCCTTAAATAAATAGCTCTTTAAGTTTCCAACATTGGATGCTGACCATATGTTTTAGTGGACTTATCTAGCTGAAGGCGCTCGGTCATGCATCCGCACCAGATCACGTGTGGTAACGCTGTGCTCAACATCTACCGCAATCGCTAGCCAGATTAGATCAGAGAATTCCGATATATTGGTTATCGCCAAATACACTCTTCCGATCTCCTCGACTCTGTCTTTTGATTTCTCTTGGTGGGTACGAATTATATTAGAAGGTGTTGCTGGTAAAAGCGTTGTCAAACACTGAATACCTGTGTCATCTTCAAGCTTGACTAGGACTTCTACTCTACTACTTCTGATAATCTAAGCATGAGTGTAGTAACTCAAAGTTACCCCACTGTGCCAAAAACCTAAGGAGGCTGGCCCAAAAGCTGTGTTACTGTTTGACATTTTTCGGAACGTGATTTTCTCCTACACAAACAATGTTTAAAGATCACCTCTCTCCCATTCACAATTTGTTTCGTTTTGCAATTCCGAAACACGTAAAGCTTTTATGTGGTGTATGCTCAAGTATAATGTTCTTTTATGAACCATGGCTAAATGATGATGCCTTAGGGCCAGTGCGATCACGATGAGCCCTGAAAACCATCCATTAGCCTAACCACTTCAACGTTAGTCGAAGTCACTGGTCGTTAGAAAGTTTGTCGAACACCGTCATGCTAAAGGTTGACTAATGGGCACTTATCAGTTGAACGCCATGTACTGGCCTATAAAATGATGTTCCACTCTCTTCCTCGAATTTTCCTTACTAATATACTTTGTCAATGTCGTTACATTTATTCCGTACAATCATCGAAGTGGCCACAGTACTCGCATACAACGAAAGAGCTATCCGCGTTAGGTATTAATTACAATGTGTGATTTCAGTGTAAGCCAGGCCACACCGTTCCCGTTCAAATGGATTGGACTGCGACCGTCCACATAGGTCACCTACTATACGACTGACCGGGATCTTTCTCGTGACGAATGATTCGTGTTTTAAAGCGACAGGTCTGAGAATGTATGTGGTGACGTCGTCCCTCGTTTATCCACTCCCCTTAGGACTTAAGAACTCATTCCTACGAGTATACGATAATTGAGATGTGTTGCGGTACATTATAGAGGGCAATCTGGGCTGTCGTCTGATATTTGTATCTTAAAGGCCACCTGAAACACGAGGTTCGCTGGATAGTTTACTTCTTTAATTTATCAGAGAGACTCCAGAAATGTATTTTTCTAGATATTAAGATTGGCTACACTGTTGTATTACGGTCTAATTTGGCATTGGCATATTTATCTTTGTTATTGTGGTGACATACCTAATCCCGAAATTGTAGACTTGTCATGATATGATTACTTATTCTATAAGTTTTTTTCTATTACAGGTAGACAGATAACTCACTAATCTCATGGATGCTGATCAACTACGGCCGATCATAAGAAGCTCATAATGTCCTATATTCTTCTGAGTAGCTCAATGTTTTGTTTTCTTACTCCGAAAATTTTACAGTTCTAAACCCTTGCACATTCTTTGATTTTCTATCTATCCTTACCATCTCTAAACCACATATAATGAGACCCGTGTTTTAACTTTTACCATTAGTCATCTTCATAGCAGTGTGATATACTAAATGGATATCTAGCCCACAATACAGAGGCTTTAACCATATGATTTGCTTGTAACATGGAACAACTAGAGACAGTGTATTCCAAAAAGGAGCTTAGGTTAAAGCAATATTCATACACACGACAAACGTAAGAGAGCTTAACGTCACAAAAGGAAGGACGGTGGTGTTACTGACCAGCGAGGGAGATAACTTCAACCAGCCCACGTTTGTGGGGCAGAACATTCTGTTAAATTGCGGCTCCTTATGGTCACATGGGATGTCACGAACCAATGATATGTATGCTAATTTATTATACAAAATACCTCTTCAAATCGTGTTTGTGATGTAGAATTTGTTCCACTTCCTAACGAGTAATCCTATTACAAGCAAAACTAGACAGTTTGCTCATAACTCTATAAAATCGATAAAAATAAAAATGAGCTGAAATGGCTTAAACAAAAATGAGAGATAGTTATTTGTGTATCAGAATACTGTTTTTAGTACTATATTTTAAAACTTCACATAATCTTAAACTTTCAGCTTCTTTTTGAACCACATCCATTTACGCAGTTGTTTGTCCATTCATACTGTATTTGCGCTTGTTTTCTTTAACCTACTAGAACGCTCTTCCTTAAAATGTACCTTAATAATAGAAAATTAGACTAGGTAGTCATACCTTCTTTATTTCAATACAGATGACTCAATTCCAATAAGCATGAACATTGTATGCTTTGCTTCTCGTCCTTCTTTTTTCTTACCCTCTTTTTCAGCCCTCCCAAGGCATGTCACTGATAACATATATGGAACGGATGACTTTGTCCTGGTCCATCATTAATGCCACAGATGTTCCAGAGGGATAAAGGGTCACAGTTTATAGAAGCTCTCAAATTTGCGTGGATTTACTCCCAACTGTCAGTTGCAAGTCGCAACGCAACCTCCCTAAAGCGCTCCAACTGTCATATTGACAATACTGATTTTACCAACATTATTTGCATTTCTATGTGAGAAGTATTATACTTCATACTTTTATGATCAATGTGCCTTATGAAATAAACCAATCGAATACCCCACAACAGTGAAGACTGTATCTTCTGTAACAATTTGATCTTGCCTGTAAACTAGCATGCCTCATGTAACAGACTGTTATTTGAAAATAAATTGTTATGATTATAAGTTCTTACGTGGAAGTCTCATCATAGTCTGCGCTGACACATGGTATCGCGACCATCAGCAGTATGATGTTTATGGCTTCTGATGTACACATTTGGATTGAAGATAAAATAATATATTTAGTTCGAACAGGGACAAGTTACACAGAATGACCACACCTGCACGTCTGAGCCATGCCATACTGATCAGTTGTCCCCACGTTCACTATTACTGATCTATCCGTATTAATTGTTAAATATGAATGTTCTCAGTCTTCTTATGTTCAGCTTTGAGAGTAGTTTAGTTAGAACCGATGCCACTACAACATTGTAACGTCATAGACCATAAAAATGCATCCGGAAATTCAGTTTGGACAAAACAAATTACGGTATCGTCAGGTAAGATTCATAGGAAGCAGCAATGAGCTAACACATTGGTGTAATTGGTGTAATATGTGCCAGCTTCTAATTGTCCAGAACCGTAAATTGGCTTAGAGGTATGAGAAAAACATACTAAGCGGCTCTACCAAGACTGAAGTGGCCTCTCGCAACGTAGCAGAGTGAACCACACACGAACCGGGGAACTGTACTTGTTTGGATCATGGAATTTCTGATACATCAGTCCAGAGCTCAGACTCCCTTCTGAGATTTCCGCTAAAACGTAGGCAAAACTATTTTTGATGCGTTTTATATGTGACGATCAAGTGTTTGAAGGTACTGTTTTAGCTGGAGCTCTACAGTATTACAGTATGAAACTGCACTTTGGGCTTGTCGAAGAAAGACTGTATTACGGAATAAGCTTTTTGAATTGGAGGCGAAACAAGCTATCAGCTTGATTTGATACGGAAGCCCATCTTTTCTTGTTATCTCTGCACATTTGCTCCTCGCTTGCCTGAAGTGGTCAGGTGTTCTGTCGTAAACAGTTAGTTTGTATTCCACTCAGTAGTGCTTTTTGAGTTGTGCGATTCTTTGTGGTTGGACGTTACCTAGAACTGTTGATAAATGTTTGCGGGATAGGCTGGTTTGTAGCACGTAAGGTAGTGCTTATTGAGAAGCCTCAGTGAGCCCCCATGTCGAGTGAATGTTGCGATTCCCACTTCAAATGTTTTAGACTGTTCTGTAAAGTTGACGCATCCGAATGTTTAAAATTCCAGCGTTTGTTGTCATTAGGCTATTTTAACTCCGTTTTACTAGTGAAGCTGGAGGTTATGGTGGCGCGATGACTATTTCTTAGGGGAGCTAGGAGATTGTCAATTAGGAATTTTTTGGTTGTAAGTATGCTGCCTAAGTACGATGGTGTCTAAATATCTCTGTGTTGAGTTAATAACTTCACATTTTCTAAGAACTGATGGCCAGCTGAATTATCACTTCCACCGTGAATTTGTTCGGCGAAGTTCAATTTAGGAAGACTAAAGTCCCTCATAATCAGAATATGAGTGTGTAAATCACCAACGTATATGATTTGCGTCGGATGATTGTGGCCCTACTCAAGTAAGACGGGAATGGTGTGGCAAGCCAGATAACATCGAAGTCACACCTCAAGGTTAGTACTTAGCTTGGATTACCCTTTGCTCATATTCAGGTTCCATGTCTGCTTTGATGACCATACATTTCAAACGGCGTTATGTGTTAGTAAAAGTATGTAAAGGGAACAGAGTGAAACCACTGCTGCATGGTCCAGCCCATGGTATGCAATTAACTCACGCACGTTGGTCGTCGTTGACTTTGATGAACATCAG